CGCCCCCAACATTCCACTCATACTCATAGTAATTCGGCCTGTATTTCAAACTATTTGAAGACAAAAACACCTAAGATTACATTTCTTGTCTCTTTACATACCCCTTCCCCCCGTTCTTAAAAAAAAAAAGAGATAGATGTGTAGCGTAATAGTTGATTGCTCACATGCCACGGGCCTAATTTGATGAGATGATTATAGGCGAGGATACTCTTTAAAAAAGATGATCAGTTAATACACGTGTTGGTAGGCAACTTGAGCATAAGCTGACGCAGGTAAATCCGAATATTCTTCTCAATCACTGCTGTTTAGTTTTAAGTAAATTTGTCTGACCCCGAAAACGAAAATATTCATTTTTCCAATTGTAGAAGTTACGCCCGATGCTTAGGTCAAGTTTCTCAACTGTTTTATAAGCTACATCTCGATTTAATGACACACAGCTAGGCCTAGAGATGTCACGGACAAAGAAACGCAAGTGCCTATAGTTTGTCTCTAATAGTAGTAATAGTAGCAAAAAGGAGGGGGAAAATTGAGTAAAAAAAGAGTCGTTCGTAGTTTTCGGGTTTGAAAGTTGGTTGTTCCAAATGCATTGTAAGCAAGAGTAAAAGTGATAAATGAATAGGCCTAGCTACATTCAACATTTACGCAGGAAAAGTGAAGAAAACCTCTTCGAATGTCTTTCACGTGCTACACAACTGAACATACCGTGCGGACTTTGGATAGATGTTCACAGTTGTTTAAAGTCACAAACAAGTACTAATAATAACCAGTGAAAGATAAATTATCTCAGAGATTATTTTCCGCATAAAAAGAGCTGCTGCCAATCGCTTTTTTTCACTTTATGAATTAATTTCATTAGGCAAATCGTCGAAACAGTTGTAAAATTGTTGACATAAACAAGAAGCTCGTCCGAGTACTCAGTTTTGATTGGTGGAAACTAGAACTAGCACGTGCTGTCAGCATGACCCCTGGCCCTGACCCCCCCCCCCCCGAGTGTGCAACAGACGATAGACGATAGCAGCCTTGCCTAGTCTCTGTACTGTTGAATGCGTGCAGTGTGTGCCGAGTGCCGTGTGCCGAGTGGCGAGTAAGATGATTCCTTCAGGTCATTGTTCCTTCTAATCGCATTCCTTGCTTTGCGTTATAATGTAGTCAAGAGGGAATCGAAATATTCATGCATTCATTGTGCATCCTCCAAACTTTCATCAACGGTTTATGCTCCATCTGGACAGAAATTCATCTTTTTCTGAGACAGCGTCCTCATCATTCAAAACAAAGGCAGGCTCGCCGAGGGCAGCATACTCTCGCTCGTCTTTTCTCAGCTGTGGTCCTGTGGTGTGTAAGATCCGTTTGCCTCTTTTAAGAAGTAGGGCCATAGTTTGCCGATTTGTTTGTTCGTTCGTAATCAGCTGTCTCGCCCGGTCTTTGCCCGTGGTGGTTGAACAGAGAAGATGGAGACGTGGGTATCTAGATCTAGAATCTATGTTGTCTCTGACTTAGGATTTCTCGATTTGTTGAGTCTTGATATATAGATCTAGATCTAGATCTAGATCTAGATCTAGATCTAAGTCATAAAAGTAAATGATAATAATTTGTCACGACTTATTATTATTAGCCTTATAGATCTATATTTCTCTAGATCTAGATCTACATCTAGATCTAGATCTAGATCTAGAATCTAGATCTAGGAGGTATTGAATACTGAAGCTGTTACTGATGTGTCAAGTGTGTGTAGCAAGTTTTGTAGCAAGTTTCTTTCTAGAGATCTAGAATCTAGGAAGTGATTATTCACATTGGGTGGGTGCATAAGATTTCATTTTATTCACACAGTGTGTGCGCATTCATAAGAATTACGGAGTGTCTACGTACACGGTAACCGGGCACGAAGCCTCAGGGTCTACACGTACACGGTAACCGGGCACGTGACGTAGCACACTGATTCAGTGTCTACGTACACGGTTACCGGGCACGTACGGTAGCCTCAGTGTCTACGTACACGGTAACCGGCAACCAGGCATGTAGTCTCAATGTCACATACACGGTAACCGGGCGCGTAGCCTCAATATCTACGTACACGGCAACCGGGCGCCTCTCATTATCTACGGACACGGTAAGCAGGTATTTAGTTTCGTGGGGGAGGGGGGGAAGGCTTTCAGAGTTAGGTGCACGGTAACTGCTTTGCTCCCTTCATGACATTGACATTAAATTTTGGCCGGCACTATTTCTCCGAACGTTCGGGAAAATAAAGCTGGGCACTATTTCTCCGAACGTTCGGGAAAATAAAGCTGGGCACTATTTCTCCGAACGTTCAGGAAAATAAAGCTGGACTGGGCACTATTTATCCGAACACTCTGAAATC